GGAAGATCATCTGGCATTGGCTGGGTCACAAATTGCCCGGTCGATGAATGATGAACTGCACTCCCAAAATTTAAACATGGAACCCCAACATTGCCTTTGGAAGATGATGTTCAGAAGTTTCTCAAAATAGGGCTACCCGGCTACCCCAAATCATCCAAATTAGACCATGACTGTGTATTGAAATGGTGACTTGAAGAGAGGTCCGACAGCTGCGCTCTGGCAGCCATCTTGGCTGAAGAGAGATTGGAAACCACCAGCCACCAAGCAATATGTACCATAGTGCAGTACATACCATAAATAGTGTACCCAAAGAGCTTCAAAAACCATCCGAAGGTCTCTGATTCTTTTGCGAGGCCAGATTAAGCTTTTTGAACCAAATGGCTCTGGATCAAAACAAATCAAAACATTGGTACCCTTCTGTTGGCCCCCCAAATAGCTTGGATTTATGGATGTTCATCCCCAAATAAGCTATGATTAGAGTAGGTTTTGATCCATAGCCGACTGTCTTTGTTAAAATCCAAATTGCTGGCGTGGCTTTACCCCAAACCCAGCACCGCCTGGTGGTGGTGAGGCGACGCATCCGTATCCCTTGGAGTTGTGCTCAAAAAGATGTGGCCCGCGTCGCAGTGTCAATTGATCTGTTCGGCAGGGATGTTACCTGAGGTTTTGAATATATATATATATATGTGTGTGTGTGCTTATATTTCTTTAAATGTATACATAATACATGTGCACAATCACATAATTATCAGATTGGCTATACAGAACATGTTTGTACATTCAGCTCGCATTGTGCAGCTTTTGATACACGATAGATGTATGTTCTTCTTGCGGTGTCTTTCGATTTGTATACCGAACATTGTCTACGCCAATGTCCACAGTTGACTGTCCTGCAAGAGTTCCTACGGTGTCTGTAGGAGACATCCACTGGAGTTCACGGAAACTACCCTTTCCCAGCTTTAAAATATATGTCATACCAAAACAGCCACCCAAACCTGAATCAAGATTTTTTGCTAGTTACCCTGACTGATCATTAGTTCACAGTGACTTCGCTGCGAGGTCGTTATAATTGATCGAATGAACGAGAGCTGGCTTCACTGATCTGCGGACACAACGGGACTTCTTTGTTCAGAAAGTCACTCACTTCTGGTCTTTGCTCTCCTCAGCAAGGCGTCTTGGTTGACCAAGAACTACCACGCATGCACAAAATACATATCATCATTTCAACCTAAGACCCCATCCATCAAACAATCCATCCATCAATCCATCCACCGATCAATCCGTCAATTTATCACTCCATCAATCTATCAATGTATCTGCCTGTCTGTCTATCTATCCATCTATGTATATATATATACACACCCAAATACTGTTTATATAAAGAGATATAGATAGATAGGTAGGTAGTGGAAATGTTGTAAATAGTACATACGATTATATACATGTAAATACAGTATCTGTATAATAAACATCAATAATGCTTATGCATAGATCAATGTATTCTGTATCTCTGTCAGCTGGCACACGCGGCCTGTCCTCACTGGTGTAGGACTCGCTATAACTGTCAGACTCTGCCGACTTTTGACTCCTCCGGTGCTGTCCAAGAAACCCGGGCTGCTGATGTCCACAGGTCAGTTTCTGTCATTGGCCCATTGTCAGATCCTTTTTGCAGTGACTTGCATATTGTCTCTGGTTCACATTCTATTGAACAAATCCCAAGTGTTACCATATACTTGCTGGCTAATATCCCATGGTGTATACACATAATATCTATCTATATATATATATATATGTACTGTATTTAAATATATGTATATATATATAAATGCAAAAGATATGTGTATATATATATAATTATCTGTATATATATATATACACATCATCAGTATATCATATCACATACTTTTACATGCCTTTATATTCCCTTACATCCCCAAATCATCACCCCCAAAAGTGCTGTTGTTGGAGCCGCTGCATTTGTCCGACTTGTTCCCCCTCCTCTGTTTCGATGCCTCTGGATGCGCCTGCCCATGTCAAAGTCTTTGCATGCACAGCTAATGTACGCATACATGCATGCATCTAAATCTATGCAATCGATATTTTCCCTGTATCTTTGGAACTAATGATATATTTGAACCGGTATGATATGCGCATGAGTCAAGACACCTTCTTTTTTATTTCGTCAAGTACGCATATATATATATATATATATATATGCAAACCCCCTCATTCTGCATTCCTTTGCATGTTTGATCAATCCTCCAATCCTCCATGGAATCCATGATTCTCCATGGAGATGCTGCAAAAACATCTTCAAGTAATATGGCATTTGGCAAAACAGTGAAATACACAAAGCATATAATTAGCCAGAAAAAATACATATACATACATATACAACAATCAGCGCTAAAAAGAGACACTTTACAGTAATCGATCTAACACTCCTCAACATCCCACAAAGACAACAAATGCCATCCCTGCTCGGCACCTTTGGCGTCATCTTGGCCTCCGCATTGGGGCGCTGGGATGGTGCCACATAACTATGGTCAAGGTTATGCCACCAAAGACTTTAGTATTGCAATTTATGGGTGATGCTATGGGAATATACTGGGATTCGGTGATTAGCCAACAACTATGAGATGCAGATGTGAGATACTCACTAAACACAATGGCAATGTACTGTGATAGGAGTACATTATCTATAATATGCTATTGCTCAACAATATTATGTACTGTACGTTTGTCTCCAAAATGGTAGATTGGTCCCATTTTTGTGCCATTTTGAAATTTGGAGCTATTTTATCTACATGTCCCTTGGGATTTGGGGATACGTCAAATCACTGGGGGCACCAATGGCCCACTTTTGCGGCTTGTCACTCCGAACCAAAACTATCCAGATGGGAATAGTTAATGACCCTCTGCTAATCAAACCCAACAGTGAGATTTCTGGCTTTGGAAGGAATCTAAACTTTTGGAATATGCTTAACTGGAAACGCATCAAGGCATATTCCATTCCCAGCTTTGACTACCAGAGATTGATGAGATGGTAACCTCAAGTCTATCTCATTGACAAAAATATATGGTTTCTGTCGCACGCCCAGCACCTACTCCAGTGAATGAGAGACCTTCCATGGCGTTCGAACTCCTCTATGCCAGTGGCTACAGGGATTAAACAAGTTTACAAGTGACTCACAAGTGCTGCCCCCTTAGCTATGTTTGTTGGACTATAGCCCAAATTAACCAGTTCGTAAGCGCAACCATGACTTCCAAAACATGTATCGATCATCTTTGTATAGGACTCAATCTGCCCAAGAAATACTCCATGCTTCGGGCATATTTGCCAATATAACTGGGCCATGTCTTTTAAATGTTGATAAACAATTTCAGCACCATGGGGCAGCAGATGGGCACGAACTGATAGCTACCATAGTCTGCTTTACTTTCCTTATAGTACTGAATTTCTGTCAAATAAAATTTTGCAAGAACATCCTATTTTGGAATTAAGAAAACGAGTTTGGGCCGCGAGAAATGACGATTGCACGGGTACCTTTTGGATGTTGAGAATTGAACCTTTCAAGTTCTGTGCGTAAAGGACATCTACATATACCCTATCACATATGCAAAAATACATACATATGTCATAATCCCATCCAAGTCCAAGTCAGCTCCAATTCTGGGGGAAAAAAACATCCGAGCAATAATCGTTCACCAATCTGAAGCGGAGACTTGGTGGTTTTGGCAGCTTCCCACAGTTGCCCGAAATACCAGTTATAAGATGTTATAAGTGAAATTTTCCCATGGAATGATAACCCAACTCCCCCCTTGAAGGTGAGGAATGCCTTGGATGGCTTTGTCCCTTGACCTGACACATTCAGGTCAAGTCAGGATGCTTCGCTGCTTCCCTCAAGGAGAAAACATGATATTTTAGGGTGATGCTTAGAGCAACCTTCATTTTTCCCTCTCAAAAAAATACAAAATACGGTATGTGGTGTCAAACATGTGTCAAATACCCATCCTGATGGATGAATTGGTGCTCTATGAACATCTCAATTAAGGTACCTGCCAAACTCACCTGCCTTCAGGATTTCAGGATCAGCTAGAGGATATCGGTGTATATATATTTATATAATTATATGTTTATAACATATCTATACATATCATATATGTATATACATGTAGTATAGAGAAAAAATATATGTATGATTTTTGGTGTAATCATATATTTTACACAGGACTGAATCCAAGACGGCATTTGATCATGCTGCACCAAACCTGGCACTCGAAGCCCCTGTGTTTTCAGTTCGCTCAAGGCTTGCCAAACCTGGAGCGCGAACATCACGACACGTTTTTAATCGGCACCCGACAATGCTGGTCATGGCCATGGGTTTTGACATATGAAACTTATGAAACTTATGAAATTGTAGTTCCCATACGTTCAATTAATCATATATGTATGTATATATATATATATGTGTGTTGTTACATATATATATATACAAATAATACCATTATTTATCATACATATATAATTTTGGATGAATCACAGTACTTCACGAACCTGGAATGTTGGGACATGATGGGATGATTCCCCTTACTCGCAACACTTTATGGTAGCGTCGTGATGACCACTTTATAGTCTACCCAGAGATATTGTTGATCCTGATCACATTCAACTTTTTTGTTAGCAAATTTGTTCCTTGTCCAGCATTCTGGATTGTGTTTGCTTTTCAAATATCCAATCATTTTGGCTGTCCACGGGACCTTTGGAACCGTGGGAACCAACATTTCACCCAAACACATCCATACACAAAGATTGCCCTGCAAACTGCAAAGGGTCATATTCACAATTGCCACAACCATAACTGAACCCGGGAGTTTCACATTCCAGTATCTTTGCTTTTGCTTTTGCTGGGTACGGTATCATATTAAATGCTGGCATTTTGTTTGCCGTTGTACACCTAACACCTAAACCCTTCAAATACCACCAAAAAATGGTTAAA